AAACAAGTAAGCTTGGCTGTACTTTGGTATAACTTTTTTTCCGCAGAACAGGCAGTGGGCCGTTTTTGTCCAGTGGTCCACAGTTTGTTGACCACTTCTTTAGGGCCTTCTTCTTGCGCACACACACACACACACACAAACACACACACGCATCTCTCCTACCTCTGTAGTGTAAGCTCCACAAGGGCAGGAATTTTTCCTGTTCATTGATTTCATAAGTAGACTCTCAATATATTAAGAAAATGTGTGAATGAATTGTTTTAAATGTGTTCTTATGAACAGCATATAGCCAAATTTTAAAGAATCTAATGTGCAGATCTCTTGTATCTAAACAAATACATTTAATTAAATTACAGTTGTGATTACTGATATATTTGGAATTATTTTTGTCATGATTTTTTTATTTTCTTTTTTTTCCTTTTTTCCTTCTTTCCTGCCATCTAAGTTTAACCAGATAATAATAATAATAATTTCTCCTTTTGTTTGGTCTTTTAATTTAGAAACTGCATTCTATTTAGCTTTCTCTAGTAGTGATCCCTAAATATTTAACATGTGTGTGTATTTTTTTTTAAGTAGGCTTCACGCCCAATATGGGGCTTAAGGTCAGTGACCCCAAGATCAAGAATCACATGCTCTACTGACTGAGCCAGCTAGGTGCCCCAACATGTGTATTTGGTTTAGCAACATTTGAGAGTATTCCTAAATACTTTGAAGACCTTAGAATGCTTGTCTGGTCTTCACATTTCCAATTTCTTGTTATTTTCTAATGTTCTAGTTTTACTTTTTTCTAAGCAATTTATGCTACCCCACCCACTGCCATGGTCTTTCTCCATTGTTTTAGAGTTAGAACTTTATTTGAATTTATTCATCTGTTCTTTCCTTTTGTATTAATTTCCGTCTTATCAAAAAACATTAGTAGTTCTTTCAGCTGCAATCTGTGGTTGGTAAATTCCCCTAAACTTTATCTAAAAATGTATTTATTCATCCATGCTCTGATAATCTAGATGATCAAATTATTGCATTATCTTCTGGATTCTGTTATTTCTTTTTTTTTTTTTTTAGTTTTGGAACATTTTCAGCAAGCATCTCTTCAAATTTTGCCTCTCCTCCATTCTTTCTGTTATCTTCTTCTGGAACTCCTTTTTAGACTTACATGAGATTTTTTAACCCCTTTCATGTTTGCTGTCGCTTTATCTCTGTGTGTCTAGGTAATGATCTTAGATTTATCTTCCAGGTCACTAACTGTCTTTGACTTTGTCTAATCTGTTGTTTCATCTGTTTGACTTTTTCATTTCACTGACTATATTTCTCATTTCTAGAGTTGTTTATGGTACTTTTCCTTTTTTTTTTTTCTTTCCAGATTTTTATTTAAATTCTATTAGTTTAACATATAGTGTAATATTGGTTTCAGGAGTAGAATTCAGTGATTCATCACTTACATAGAACACCCAGTGCTCATCACAAGTGCCCTCCTTAATGCCCATCACCCACTTAGCCCATCCCCCACCTACCTCCCTCCATTAAGCCTGTTTGTTCTCTGTTTAAGTGTCTCTGACCCTCTGTTTAAGGGTCTCTTATGGTTTGCCACCCTCTTTCTCTGTCTTTTTTTGCTATCCACTTCTTTCTCTCATATGTTCATCTATTTGTTTCCTATATCCCACATTTAAATAAAATAAGATACTTGTCTTTCTCTGACTGACTTATTTTATTTAGCATACGTACCCTAGCTCCATCCAAATTGTTGTAAAAGCAAGATTTCATTCTTTTTGATGGCTGAGTAATATTCCATTGTTTGTGGGGTGTGTGTGTATGTGTGTACCATTAGTTGATGGACACTTGGGCTCTTTCCATAGTTTGGCTATTCTTGATAAGGCTGCTTTAAACATCAGGGTGCACATACCCCCTTTGAATCTGTATTTTTGTATCCTTTGGGTAAATATCTAGTAGTGCAATCTCCCTTTTTGAGGAACTTCCCCACTGTTTTCCAGAGTGGCTACACCAGTTTGCATTCCCACCAACAGTGTAAGAGGTTTCCCCTTTCTTTGCATCCTCCCGAACATCTGTTTCCCGTGTTAACTCTAGCCATTCTGACATGTGTGGGGTGATACCTCATTGTGGTTTTGATTTGTATTTCCCTGATGGTGAGTGACGTTGAGCATCTTTTCATGTATCTATTAGCCATCTGGATGTCTTCTTTGGAAGAATGTCTATTCATGTCTTCTGCCCATTTCTTAACTGGATAGATTATTTGGTTTGGGGATGGTGAGTTTTATAAGTTCTTTGTAGTTTTCAGATGCTAACCCTTTATCAGACTCATCATTTATAAATATCTTTTCCTATTCTGTAACCTGTCTTTTAGTTTAAGTGTGGGGGCTCTTTCTGGGCCATTGATTCTCATGGTAGATCATTTTCTTGTTTGGTCATACTTTTCTATTGAGAGCTTCTCTTCAATTTTTCTGTATGGATCCCTTAGTAATAGCTCACTGGTAGTAGAAGTGTATTGCTGACAATCAGTTTGCATTTGCTTCTGGCAGACACTCCAAAGAAATCACTAGCCTGGGGATAATTGTCATAATAATTTCTCACCCTGTGGTTCACTCTCTGCCCTAAAATATAAATTTTGATCACTCAAATGTGTTATAAGTTGGGTTTCAGTTTCTTAGGAAATCTGTTCTCATCCCTGCTTCATAATTTAATATTGAAGAGTACCACAAATGTATCTCTTGTTTTATAATTTCAGCGTAAATATAAACCATCATTTAGTCATTAGAGAATATTGAAGGATTTAGTCATTAGGGAGAAATTTTTGAGTATTAATTTTAAGAAATGCTACTTATAAATAGTGACAAATTTGAACAAATTTCTAAATAATGCCACTTGAGACATTGTCAGTAAAATGAAGGAAAGTATATTATTCCTCATCTTCCTTTGCCTTGTCCTTCATTCTCACTACAGTCCTGCCTCCAGCTTTTCTTCTCTTTGTGTCCCAGTCAAAAAATAACAGCCTACATCCTCATCTTCTTTTAGGAGAATGAACAAACCCTTATTTAGAATTATATTTTGGAAATAGATGGATAAAACTTCAGTTCACATAAATAAGCCAATTTGAATAAAAGCCTGACAAAACAAGCTTGATAGGAAAGTAACAAAGACACAGGGAGTTTTCAACCAGGAACATGTTTATCTCCAAAAACACCTCCCTGGAGTCACAAAATATGTATTAAAATGGGAGAAAGGAAAAAAAAATTATTATTTTTTAAATAAATAAATAATAAAATAAAATAAAATAAAATAAAATGGCAGAAAGGTTAACTGTTTTAGTGTTTATCAAAAAAGAATCAGCCGTGGTTTTTAAAACTTGAAATATTATGCCCTAGTATTTATTTCTTCCAATAAATAAGAAAGGAGAATTACAGATGAAGCATCTATGGATTATAACAGTGTCAGATTTTGGCAGGGGTCGGGGGGGTGGGATTACCTATCATTTAAGGTTAATTTTGAAGTACTTGAGCCTAATAGCCTCCCCCCTTCCATACCTCAATTCTGGTTCTAGAATACACTGCTAGATTGAATAGCCCAAATGTTCCATAGTCTTTTTCTTATTTTTTAGATTCACAAAATTTGAGATTAATTGAAGATGACTATTCAGCATTAATCTAATCTGTTTAATCTACTTGAGTTTTTCATTTTAATAATTAGTTTTCATTTTTAAAGGTTGTTAACTGTACTTTTCTAAATCCACCTGTTTTCTCATGATAGAATCATCCCAAGCTGACTTTTTACAAAAGTGGACACAGGTTATCTTCACTTCCAGTCCAGTACCCCAAAAAGGAGGCTTACGTTGTCCAAGGATTAATCATAAGAACATACACTGATTTTTATGACTTAAGAAAGTTTCCCACGCAGTTTATCATTCATGCTACAAGTCTGATTTACATAATTTCTTTCTTTAAAAATCTTAGGAAAATAAGGGAACGTGGGTGTCAGTTAAGTATCCAGCTCTTGATTTCAGCTTGGATCATGATCCTCAGGGTCATGAGATCGAGCCCCATGTCATGCTCTGTGCAGAGCATGGAGCCTGCTTAAGATTCTCTCTCTCCCTCTGTCCCTCCCCGCTAACCTGTGCCTGCACGCACTCTCTCTCTCTCAAAAAAAAAAAAAAAAAAACCTTAGGAAAATATTTTCACAAAATATTAATGATTTCTCTAAGTGGTATCGTTTTTACTTTGTGACTTGAACAATTTAATACTAACATTTCACAATTTGGAGCTGCCTAGGTAGCTTAGTTGGTTAAGTGTCCAACTCTTGATTTCAGCTAGGGTCATGGTCTTGGGGTCTTGAGATTGAGCCCTGTATCGGGCTCTGCACTGAGTGTGGAGCCTACTTAAGATTATCTCTCTCCCTTTGTCCCCTATCTCCCACCCCCCGCTCACATGGTTGCACTCTGTCTTTTAAAAAAAATTAACAATTTAATGATAACATTTATATGTATTGAAATTGCTTTGTTTTATTTATTGCATACATCAAAATGGATTTAGCTTAACCCACATTCCCTTTTAAAATGTCCGCAAAGTGTTCATATTAGAATACCTTAGCAGAGTCCAACACATCAGGCTTCTTAGAGTTGAAGGTCTTAACCTTTCAGGGGGTCAGATGTGAATTAAATAGTAGTTACTAGAGTAGTTGACTAGACTGGAGCATTTAGAGAAGTAATAGCTACTAAAAATACTGTCCTTAGCCAGAAAGTGGGTTTATCCAAACACTTTTTTTTTAAAAATTTTAAACAAGTAGCAATGTTTGTCTGCTTAAATAATTAAAATAATTTGCAAGTTAAAAATTTTGAAATTTTAAACATTTAAACTCAGAATAGTTTGTTTTAAGGTATCTTGGCATACTCTTGTTTGTTGCAGAAATATTTACTTGTTTTGTTTTCCCAAGGCTGCTTAAAGGTTAACTGACTAAAGTGGGTGGGTCCTCATGTTTACTAATATGTGTTGCAGCTCTGTTGGTACACCAGAAGGCCAGAATGGAACGACTTCAAAGAGAACTTGAGATTCAAAAGAAAAAGCTGGATAAACTAAAATCTGAGGTCAATGAAATGGAAAATAATCTAACTAGAAGGCGCCTGAAAAGATCAAATTCCATATCCCAAATACCTTCAGTAAGTCTGTAACTCTAGTGACCTCTGTGCTTGAACATGAGAATAGGCGATCTGTCGTAAGTGTAAAAAGCTGATCTGTTTTTTTTAGAAGTGCTCTCAATTCATACTTGTTTCTTTGCCCTTACCCTCCCCTACCAAACTCCACTTTTAACTAATAACAAGAGAATTCAATGTAGATCCTTCTCACACGGAATTATTTTTCAGCTCGAAGAAATGCAGCAGTTGAGAAGTTGTAATAGACAACTCCAGATTGACATTGACTGCTTAACCAAAGAAATTGATCTTTTTCAAGCCCGAGGTAAAGTTCAGTGCATATTCAACTGAAATTCATTCATTGTATTAATTTACCAACTCTTTTCCTGTGGCTGAATACAAACTTAGCAGTTATAATCTTAAATTGTCTCAGGTTTGACTTTGGAGCCAGATAGTACTAAAAACTATTGTGTTTTTCTCCCTGCCCCCTCTTCCAGAAGAAATTATGTATTTGGCTTATGAATAATTTGATAAAATTTGTATTATTCAAACCTCTATTCTCATGTTAAGGGAAGACAGTGATTTTGGCTATGTTGTCAAAAGTATTGCTGTTAAATATTAGTAGAATATATAATATTTATAATATTTTTATAATATTTAATAAGATTAAAATATAGGTACTCGTGTCTTTTTCCTATTTCCTTTTATCTTTTGAGAATCATGCTTTATCATGCCTTTTTTTTTTTTTTTTTTTTTTTTGAGAATCATGCTTTTAAGAACATAGTTAAAAAGGCATCCCCACCCTACTGGCACTTTCTTAATTGATAAAACAGAGAAGGGAATAAAAATGTGGCTTACACATTTTTAGAACAAGGATAGCTTATTATGAAAACTTGAGCTATTCCTGATAAGCAATAGTTGGTAATTGTAGCAAAAAATCTTGACAATTTAAGTCAGTTCCGTAGACAACTAACAGGAAATTTTACAACTTAAACCTAATGCTGAAGTTAGGGAAATAATAGAAATATATGAAATGGAAAAGACAGGATAAGAGAAGGAAACCAACAAAAAAGAAGTCCTTAATTACTCTTTTTAAATGTGTGCTGAAAATCCATCAAGTTGAAAGATGATAATGTTGTATTTTCTTTTAAAACCTCCATAAGTCATGTATCTTGAAATACTCTCTGAAGATGCCGTAGTTTAAAAAGCGAGAAAAAGGAATTTAGTGCTGATCTAGCAACCATAGTTCTTAACTTATTCCTTTTGTCATCTGAACCATTATATTTAATTAGTGCAAAGTTTTTAATACTTATTTGGGACCAAGCTATTTATTTAGTTGCTTAAGATCATGTTTGATCATTTGAAATTATATTTTAAATTGTTAAATTGGAAGTTATTTTAACTTGGCACATAGAACAGTGTTACTGTCTTACTAACAGTTAAGTCTGACTTCTTCCCCCGTTTACCACTTAAACTTCTGTTGTGAGTACTGTATTATACCTTCCTCAGCTGTTTTGACATCCTTACATGTAATTTGAGATTAGAGGTACAAAATAAATGAAAGCATTTCTTCTATATACTGTGACATTTTTTAGAAAGAAAATATTGCTTTTTAAAAAAATAAAATTAAATATTTTTGAGCTATAAACATTGATACATTTACTTTTTATATATTTCAGGACCACATTTTAATCCCAGCGCTATTCATAACTTTTATGACAATATTGGATTTGTAGGTCCTGTGCCACCAAAACCCAAAGGTTAGTGTATTCATTATGTGTGAAAACCATTACATTTTGAAAACCAAGATCTTAGAAAATTTTGTTCTCAGCAGCCTTCCATTCTATAAGTGCTTCAAACTTTGGCATTCGTGGATGAATTCATTAGGAAGATAGTTGCTTATTTTCACTTACATGCTGGGGATGGGGGAGCATGCAGAAGTGTAATGTACTTAGCTCTTTAAAAGTAATATTCATGTCCTTAGGATTCATTATATACTCCTAAAATAGCAAGTCTTGGGAAAAAAATAATCAGTAAAGCTTGTACTCTTTAAAATTTTAGATAACTGATGAGAACAATACTTTAGGGAAGTTTATTTTTCATGAGTATTTTGCTTATGCATAATTCTGTATAATCACAATACTCTGAATTTCAAATGAATGATTATTGAAAATTATCACCTACTATCATTTTACATCATTGGTAATCAGATTTGTATACATATGTAATGAAGGTATGTCAAAATATGTGTGTGGATTTTTTTAATCTAGGAATTAAAATAGAGAAATGAGAAACAATAGGTATGTTACTAACTCTTTGGTTTGTTACAAGACTTTTCTCAGTCTCATTCAATATCCTGTTCTCTCCACTCCCTCATTTTTGTTTAAATATAATTCAATTAGGACTAGCCGTATCTTCATGGTGTGTTTGTTTAATATTTCTAAACATAGATAGGTGGAATACAGTGAACTATTATTACAGAAGAGCGAAAGTGAGATTATTTTGTCACAGTAAGCAGTGGTTAAAATACTAGATGCCATTTGGACTTTAATTGAATAAAGGGATAAAGAGAACAGTGGCATAACCTAGCTCCTTAAAATAGGCAAAGTGGGTATTTCCAGACTCTGAATGAGAGATACTTTAATATGATCTTTTCACTCTCTCAAAAATTAACTATATTTTTTCTTATGAAAAGATTTCCTGTTTTGCTTCAGCATAATCCACTACTTACATGTTGAGTGTAGGAGAAAGTATATGGAGGTTACGTGGAAAATAGATGAAATTCTTAAGATTGGTCTTGACAATCTGAAGCAGGATAACATCATGAGGGTTTATTTCACTATGCTCTATATATAAGTGTGAAGTTTTTCATGGTGATAAAAAGTAAGAAAAGCTAGAACAGTAGAAAGCATAGATGGAAGCCTTTCCTTAAATTTATAATATGTCAAGGGGAGGGATCCAAGATGGTGTCATATGAAGAACCTAAATCCACCTCTTCCCATGGACATACCATATCTACACCTCCATATAGAACAGTTCCTCCTGAAGAACTGAGGGCTGATTAAACAGTTTCTGCATAATAAAGGGTGGAAGGACCACATAGCCATTGGAAGGAGAGATGGAGTCACAGTAACTGTGGGAACCCCAACCCCTACACTGTGAACTGCAGACAGAGAGAGAGTACTGAGGGACCCATGCACAGATCTGCCCACCTTGCCCCCCCACCAACAAAAAAGCTGTGATTTAAAGGGCAACTAGAGGGGCATCTGGGTGGCACAGTCGGTTAAGTGTCTGCCTTCAGTTCAGTCATGGTCCTGGGGTCTTAGGATCCCACATCAGGCTCCCTGCTCAGTGGGGAGTCTTCTCCCTCTCCCTCTGCCCCACCCCCACTTGTGCTCTCTCTCTCTCTCTCAAAAAAATAAAATCTTTTTAAAAAAATAAAATAAAGGGAGACATATTAGTGAAGAAAACCCATACACCAACTCTAGAGCTTCTACCAAACGGTGGAGAACTGCTGGAACTTACTCTGGAGTCAGAAGTGCAAGCAAGCACCATGTTTACCTTCTCCCACCTCCTTGATAACATAAATGGGAGCAGAGTCTAGTCACTGTAGCCAGCCTACCCTCTCAGCAGGACTTATGCCTCCTTCCCCCCCCCATTAGCTCCAGCCATCCTTCCAAAATAGCCCCTTGTACCCGTGCCCACCTGAGCTCTGGCCATCCCACCAAGGTGGCCCACAGTGCACTAGTGCACACTAGTGCACCCTCAGCCTATACCCAATGCAGCTCCAGCCATCCTACCAGGGCATCCCTTCATGGAGTACCATCAGACTCAGCTCACACTTCCTACAGCTACCACCAGCCAGCCAAAGCTGCCAGGCACATGCAGTCTATACAGGGACCTTCCTACACAGCGCCTCCTTCCTGACCGGGAGAGGTAGCTCCATCGCCTCATTCATAGAAACAAACACAGAAAGTCAAACAAAATGAGACAGAGGAATGTGCTACAGACAAATTCAGAAAAGGAGCTAAATGAAACAAATAAACAATCTACTTGATAAAGAATGTAAAAGTAATGGTCATAAAGATGCTCATCAAACTTGAGAGAAGAGTGGTTGAGTTCACTGAGAACTTCAACAAAGAGATAAAAAATATAAAAAGAATCTGAGTTGAAGAATACAAGTAGTGAAATAAAAAATACACTGGAGGGAATCAGCTGCAGATTAGAGGATGCAGAGGAACCGATCAATTATCTAGAGCCAGGGTAATAGAAAGCACCCAAGCTGAACAGCAAAAAGAAAAAAGAATGTTAACAAATGAGGACAGGTTAAGAGACCTCTGGGGCATCAAGAATATTAATATTCACATTACTGAGGTCCCAGAAGGAGGAGAGAGAGAGAAGAAGGTGCAGAAAATTTATTTTAAGAGATGATTGTTGAAAACTTCCCTAACCTGGGGAAGGAAACATAAATCCAGGTTCAGGAAGCACAGAGAGTCTCAAAAAAGATGAGCCCAAAGAAGTTCACACCAAGACACAGAATTAAAATGTCGAAGATTAAAAGTAGAGAATCTTAAAAACAGTAAGAGAACAGGAACTAGTTTTATATAAAGAAAAACCCCACAAGACTATCAGCTGATTTTGCAACAGAAGCTGCAGCCAGAGGGGGTGGCATGATATATTCAAAGCTCTGAAAGGAAAAAAACCTACAACCAAGATACTATTCAGCAAGGTTATCACTTAGAATTGGAAAGCTAGAGTTTCCCAGATAAACAAAAGTTAGAGTCTATCACCACTAATCCAGCCTCATAAGAAATGTTAAAGGGACAGGAAAAGGCCATAACTAGAAATAAGAAAATAATGAAATGAAAAAATTTTCCAGGTGAGACCAAACATATAGTAAAGATAGTTGATCAATTGCTTATAAAGCTTAGTATGAAGACAAAAGTGGTAAACTCAACTATATCTTAAAAAAAATTAAGGGACTCACAAAATAAAAAGACATAAAATAGGACATTTACATAAAACATAGAGGAGAAAGTAAAAATGTACTTTTAGAGTGTGTTTGAACTGCAGTGATCATCTGCTTCATAGGGACTGCTATATACTTTGGATGTTACATACAAACTTCATGGTAACCACCAACCAAAAGCCTACAATAGATACACAAAAAGTAAAGAGAAAGGAATCCAAGCATAACATTAAAGAAAGTCATCAACACATGAAAGGAACATAGAAGAACTACAGAAACAACCAGAAAACAACAAAATGGCAATAAGTACATACCTATCAGTAATTACTCTAAATGTAAATGGTCTGAATCCTCCAGTCAAAGTCATCCAGATAGGGTGACTGGATGGTAAAATAACTAGGCTCATCTATATGCTCCCTACAAGAGGCTCAATTCAGACCTAAAGATACTGACTGAAAAGAAAGGGATGGAAAAAGATACTCCATGCAGATTGAAACAAACAAACTGGGGTAGCAGCACTTAGATCAAAGTAGACTTTAAAACAAAGACTGTAATGAAACAAAAAAGGGCATTATGTAATGATAAGGAAGGAGATCAACAAAAGGATATTACAATTGTAAATCTCTATGCACGCAGCAAAGGAGCACCTAAATATATGAAGCAAATATTAACAGACATAAAGAGAAAAATTGATAGTGATACAATAATAGTAGGGAACTTGAGCTGTACACTCCCATCAATGGAGGGATTTTCCATACAGAAAATAAGGAAACAGTGTCTTATGAACAACCCATTAGAACACATGGACTTAACAGATAGATAAAGAGCATTTCATCCAAAAATAACAGAATATATAATGTCAAATACACATGGAACATTTTCCAGGAGAGTTCACATGTTAGGCCACAAAACAGGTCTCGATGATCTTAAGAAGACTGAAATCATGTCAAGCATCTTTCCAACCACAGTGCTCTAAAACTAGAAGTCAATTACAAGGGAACAATTGGGGGGAAAAAAATATGTGGAGGCTGAACAACATATTTAACAATCAGTAGTACATCAGTGAAGAAATCACAGAGGATATCAAAAAATACCTGGAGACAAATGAAAATGGAAGCACAGGTTCACATTCTCTGGAATGTAGCAAAACCAGTTCTAAGAAGGAGGTTTATGGTGATAGAGGCATACCTCAAGAAACAAGAAAAATCTCAGATAATCTAACTTTATACCTACAGGAACTAGAAGAACAACAAGCAAAGCCCAAAGTTAGTAGAAGAAAGGAAATAATAAAGATCAGAGTGGAAATAAACAAAAATAGAGCTAAGAATAGAAAGGAGCAATGAAATCATAAAAATAAACATAAACATAAAACAGAAACATAAACAATTGATAAACCTTTAACCAGACACATCAGGAAAAAAGAGAGGGCTCAAATAAATAAAATAAAAGATGAAACAGGAAAAATAATAACCAATACTACAGAAATACAAAGGATTATAAGGGATAACTATAAAAAGTTTTATGCCAAGATTTTAACAACCTAGAAGAAATGGATAAATTCTTAGAAATAAACACTGTTCCAGGACCGAATCAGGAAGAAATAGAAAATCTGAACAGACCGATTACTAGTAACAAAATTGAATCCAGAATAAAAAAAAAAAAATCAAACAAAAGTCCAGGACCAGATGGACCAGATGGCTCCACAGGTGAATTCTGCCAACATTTAAAGAAAAGTTAGTATCTATCCTTCTCAAGCTATTACAAAAAATAAAAGAGGAAGGAAGACTTCCA